TAAGTCAGAACTGGCGGTCAGTTTCAGCAGCGGCTGAATCTGGACGCCAGTTCCGACTTACATACAGATTCAACTTAAGAACAAACCTACAGTCCCTATCTTGTACGTAACGGGGACTGCCTGTACCTAGTTCGTGCCGCGTGTAGCTGCGGGCACGGAGTCCGAACTAGTGGACATTTAAAAATGGCGGCGCCCGGCAATATGCAAATGAAGCCCAGGAAATTCAAATCCCGGGCTTCATTTGCAACTCCGGTTGCCTACATTAACCACCCTAATTTGAACTAGGGTGGTAGTGTAGACATACCCAGACATATGTGATGGACATAGCTGTGCTGGCAGAATACCTAAGGGTAAATGCTGCTTTTCTGGCAAAACTGCACTTTTACTGATATATCTCTGGCTAGTTTATTCTAGAAAATTAGATTGACCCTAGCTTCGTTACTCATAGGTGTGAAGAAAAATACACACCACCGACGAACATAGTTATGATGATCTAATCCTTGTGTAGATGATAGTAGATTGACAGAAGAATTTATCCATTGACTTAGGTACTGCCGCTCTGGGAGGTGAATTTATTATAGCAACGGAAGAGCCTCGCTCATCACTGTAATAATTGCTTGTGCTTAGTGGTTTAAATGCAGACATAGCCTTATTTTGCTTGGGGAGATGAATAAGCTATGCCTACAAAAGCACAGTTATGCTAGTATAGCTGTGTCCACACTGGGAGTGTTTTGCCAGGATAGTACACCAATATATCTATACTGGCAAAGCTCACCTGATGTAGACGTGGTCTCAGTAGAGTAACCAGATATGATTAGAAGCTTCTGTCTTCAGTAACTTTTCTAATAATAACCACACTGCTTTATTTGTTTGTAGGAATTCATAACCTTGCATACACAAGACAATGATTATACTTTCTGTACTTTGCATTTAGATGATTAATAGAAATATCATTTTGATGTGGCTAAAAAACCCTTCAGTTTGGGAAACTGGAATTATTGGTTATTTTTGCTCATTTCTCTTATTTCATGGCCCAAGTAAAATGGTATATGTAAATCATATATGTGCCTGTGTGTGAGTATTTATCCTCTATGTTTTGGCCCTGCTCTGGTAACTTAATGCATGAAGAGGGTCCTGTGCCCATGTGTGGTAAACTGGAGGATGAGGGCATTATTTATTTTTAATTCAAATATATTTGAGTGTTTGTGTGTGTAAAATAGGCAGTATATTTTAAAACATAAGATATTCATCATTAAAAAGAACTAATCTGTTTTGATCTGTTGTTCTGAAGCTACTTTCTTATATATTTTAGTCCACACAGGCTGCAAAAACAGAACCTGGAAAAGTAGCACAGTCCGCGAAGGTAAGCTATTACTTCTGCTGCTTCTGTTGAATCATTGTGTGTGCCTCTTCTTCAGAAATGTTAATAAGTGTGCCACTACTGGAACAGAGGCTCCCCAGAGGCTTCTTATATGGGAGAAGAAAACAAACTTGCACGTAGATGAGGTTGGAAGTGGAGTCCAGGGTGTCAGGAGTTGACATAGCACACTTTTTGGAGCTCAGATGCTGTTGGGCTTCCCCTCTCCCAGAAGATTTTTAAGTAGAAACCAGCATTAATCCCGCCCTGTGTCTTCTGTCTTTTTAGGGCATGTCTGGGTGGGAAAGAATAGAGAACTCTGATGTCACTGACTATAAGGGAAGGAAGTTGTTCTTAGAGCTTGGTGCAGAGTCTGTTTTGCTGCATGGCTGCCTTGGAATTCACAATGATACTTTCTAGACTTCTCCTGCTTGCTTTCCTGCAGAGTTTTCCTAGGGAGAGGAATAGGGAGCCCTATCTGCCTAGTAAATATCAGGTTTTTAAAAGTTGTTTCTTTTCTATCTTCTTTGGTTGGCAGGTGAAGGAACCTTTGAAAACTGGTTTAAAAAAATCCTATCAACCTAAAGAAAAGAAAAGCAGAATGATTCAGGTTTTTTTTGCAAGAGCATATGCAAAGCTTTATTCCATTTTTATTTTTGCAGAAGGTGAAAATACACCTTTATAAAGAAAGATAACCCATACTTACGGGTTCTGCCAAGATGTTTTCTCTCAAACTTTGAATTGTGACTGAACGAAGAGAAATTAATTTCCACAAACCCCAATTGTTCTTTTTCTCATATAGCTGTACTAGCTGAGTTTGAACTGTGCCTTGCCTTGAGATTACTTAAGAGGCAAAAGGGAAAATTGTGCATCCCTAACAATTGGAAAATAATAATTTCCTTTTTCTCTAAATTGTCTAGCAGAACATATGAATGTTACATATATATTAAACTAGTCTAAAAATCATTAAGGGAAGACCTCTTAACAGTTAAATATTTCCTAATATACTCTACTATATCTGTATTATTGACAGCCAGCTGATTCTCAGACTAAACATCAGTCTGAAGAGAAGCAAAAGAAATCTGGTGGGGTGAGTTATTTACATTTTTTTTCTGCTTTTGGTTGGTTGGTCAGTTTGTTAGTTTCTCAAAACAAAAACACAATAATACGAACATCTGTCATATACATTAATAGCTGAAGCAAAATGCAGGACAATGTAGCACTTTAAAGACTAACAAGATGGTTTATTAGATGATGAGCTTTCGTGGGCCAGACCTACTTCCTCAGATCAAATAGTGGAAGAAAATTTCTTCCACTATTTGATCTGAGGATGTGGGTCTGGCCCACGAAAACTCATCATCTAATAAACCATCTTGTTAGTGTTTAAAGTGCTACATTGTCCTGCATTTTGCTTCAGCTACCCCAGACTAACACGGCTACATTTCTATCACTATTATACATTAATAGCATATTTATGATTATACAGGCAAAAAGCCCATCCAAATCTTCTGTAGCAAAAAGTTCCAAGCAAACTAGTCCAGGAAAAACAGTCACCAGTCAGACTGAACAGTCAACGCAAGTGTCTTCAATAGAAGAATCAAAGGTAAAGCAGAAGTTGTGATTTGTTTGTTTGTTTGTTTGTTTGTTTGTTTGTATTGAGGGAGAACCTACTAGCCCTAGCCACAGTTCCCATTGTGCTAGGCATGTGCAAACACTGAACAAAAAGTTTGTGTCCCAAAGACAGACTGCCTTTTTTGAAGGCATACGTGACAAAGATTTTTGTGCTGCATTAAGCTAAAGTCTAAGCTATATTAAGCATGTATAAAACGTAACTCTTTGGGATTTAATGGGACCTTTTGCATTTTGCTTATTTAACCTTAATACCTTGAATGTACTTATTCAAAAGCACTGAGAATAGTGTGCAAGTGTTTCCACGGTATGTTTTAATTTAATACATTTTAATAGGTATTGTGCAATAAGGAGGCTCACTCAGCCTCTCTTCAGATCCCTCTCAAGCCATTCTTAGCTCTGTAAGATGTTTGGATGTTTTTGAAGTTGAACCATATAAACTCACTGGCAGTTGCAGGCCTACCTAAGCCAGAAGTACTGCATATTTGAGACTCTTGACGCATTACTCTGTAAGCTTTGTACTGCCGTTTGGCTCATGCCGTTCTTTTCTTATGTCTGCACTGCAATATAAGCTTAGGGATAGTAGAACTCAAGTTAGTAGCCTCTGGCTTTGTTAACCTAGGGCCTGAGCATATACATTGAGTTGTAACCCACATTAGGAATTGTTGAATACTGAGTTACAAGCTGGAGCTCCAGTGGATTATGCAAGACTTCCTAGCTTCCTCCCAAAATGTGGTTCCTCTAGCTCTTTGTTTATGGTGCAGTGTAGGAAATCTCAACTGTTCACTAAACTTGACTGTTCGAAGGAAAATAAGTTCCTTTTTTATTGTGGAATACTTGGGGGAGGTTCTGACCATGAGTTCAATGGGGTGGTATTGACACTGTGAAGGAATAGGACTAGAGGTGAAAGTAAGCAGTGCAGTGCTCTGGCAAGAAGTCAGCTGGCTGGGACACTTAGCTGCAGGGTGAGGGGCAGGGTGCTCCCAGCTTGGCTCCTGGCTTCCTGCAGGCTTCTGTGCTAGAAGGAGACAGCCAGGCAGATTAGAGGGGCTGGCTGGGGGCCCTCCACCCCCACCATCCTCTGGGATAGGGTTGCCTGGTATCCAGTTTTGAACCGGACAGTCCAGTATTTGAGGATTCTGACCGGGAAAAATTTAAGGTATGTTTTAGGTAAGTTTTATTATTATTAGGAGTATCACGCTGCGTTAGCCAGGCAATACGGAACTATATGAGGGGGCAGGCAATACGGAACTATATGAGGGGGCAGGGCTGGGGCAGGAGGAAATCCCCGGGGCTGGACTCGCTCGTGCTTCGCCGGGACTGTGCGTGGGACGGGCAGCACCCTGGGATCTGCGTGCGCCCGGGCCAGCTCCGCTCCCCCCTGACCAGTTCCTGCCCTTCTCCTCCCCCTCTGACCAGCCCTGTTCCTCTCAAACCCCTCCCAGCCAGCCCCGCTTCCCTCACT